TACTTATTTGCTTCAAATTCATATTTCTATCACTTTATGATTGCTTTTACTTTAATTTGATTAATGCGTTGTGTGATTATTACTGTATCATATGGTTAAAGTTTGTATGTCTCAGATTGACAATGGCCTGACTCGGACTTCCGGTAGTAAATATACGATGCCGACTTCCGGTAGTAAATAAGCGAAGCTGACTTCCTGTAGTAAATATCCATAGCTAGTCGTATTTCCAAATCTTGAATCGATCAGGTGTCCTAATTAGATAAACTCTGATGTGGTTATCAATGGAAATGTCCCTTTCTAAGAGTTTTTAATCTACCTACAACAGCGAAAAGGAGTGTCGAACTCATGGCTGCTGCATATTTTAACTGCAGTATGCACGCTTATAGCTTTAGATTGTATAGTGGCATTGTGTATCTCGAAGTTTTTCCTCCATACAAAAAAGATAGGGGGAAATATATAGGTCTTTTCTTTCCTTTATCTAAACAGAACAGTATAGGGACCAGACATATCGCTATTGTATTAGAAACGTTAAACAGACTCATTACTGTATATCACTCCTGTTCGGCGACCTGTCGTAAGTCCAAACATCACGCGAAAGGTAACACGGGGATGATGTATTCAATCCTTTCAATCCTGGCGAAGAAGTTTGTTTTTAAAAAGTAATAAAAATAAGAATTAACGAACATTCATCGTTGAACAGTATATAGTACCGAGTAGTTTTACAACGGTTTCCGGAAAATCTAGGGTTGGGTTCGGAAATTATATATGACCATACTGAATGTTCGTATGTTAAATATAATTTGCCTATACATTCGTTGGTGTGTTTAGCGTTCATCCCCCAAAAAGCCGATGGTCTCGTCATTGCAAACAGATTACAACAGAAATGTAGAAGTGTCCATTTACCGCATATTGTGTAAATTTTATTCTATGCAATATTTCTGGGGCAAAATGGAAATCTAAGCGGTATGCACTGTTAGGAGAACACACCTTCATGTAGTGAGCGTCTACAACCGGTTCAGATTTTAATATCTTCACTGCCAGTTTTCCAACAGTTTTGAGATTGCACATAGTTCATACAGCAGCCCACGTGAGCACGTGAAGATGCGTATCTTGCCATGAATTCCGTTATAGCATTATCTCAAACCCAAATCATTGACATCATTCCAACAAATATTTTGGGGGATTTTCTGGGAGTTTTTAATGGGGTTTACTCGTGATCAGAATATTATTACTTTTTAAAAATAAAATCAAAATGACACGGAAAGCTCCCTAGAATTTAGTGTTATAACTTATTTCAATAATTCAGGAACTAATGTATGTATTGATCCTTGTGAAATTAAACTCGGAAAATTTCCTAAAATTGTATACAAAACAGCAACCCCTCTGATTGTCGGTCAAATAGAGCCGACAGATTTTAAATATCATAAGAGAGGTACAACAATGTGTGCATACTTCCGCATAACAATGGGGCATGTTAATAAATAACTTCTCGTATTTACCAATTATCTAGACTTTGGCAGCCAATCAGAGAAGAGGAACTTTTAAACATCCTCGCTTGATTATTTAGTTTCACCAGGGGTTGGTCAGAATCTGTGGATATTACAGATGCGTACCTGTTTTATGTTAAATATTTGAGAATTGGATATGTGCGCCGTATTGAATGAAAATGAAATTAAATAGCTCGTTACAATGAACGTTAGAACCTCCGTAAGAAAATTTCCTATCACACTCACCGACTACCGACAGATTCGGTAAAAATCTTTGGGACATGTTGCGGTAAAAACATGGAAAGCAGTGTAGCATTTTCCATAAATACGATATGTCAGCAAATTAAATGTGTAAGTTTTCAAATAAAGAAATATAAAGTCCTGTTTAAGTTTGGGTTGGTAACATTTCAGTCGCACGGTCAAATCCACTTACGGACATGAAACAAACGGTTATCTACTGATATATGGACAGGTTTAGACCACAGCGTATCTTATAAACTAATGCCATGTTCCATGTATAGATGTAGAGGTTTAGAATACACAGACACTTGACAGTACAGTACAATTATTTAATTATTTTTGAATTACGTTTTTTTAATTATTTTAAACACTAAATTCCAACATCGAAACACAAATACTACCTACACCACTTCTACACATAGGAATATCTTGGTCCCGAAACAGAATATAGGGATTCTGAAGTGTATCAAATTCAAGAAGATAGACATCTCATTTTCTTCAGCTAATGTTATAGCGTCAAGAAAGCATGAATCCATCTCAATATCGAATATATATTTATTGCCGTAGGCTTCCCTACCCTACCCTTTAAAGGAGGCGTCAGTACCTTGTATTCGGTTTAAATAGGACCTATTGCATTATCTAGGTTCCTCACTTGACCAGAGTTCATTTAGGCACGGTAGTCCAGTGGTAGGACGCCGGGCTCATGACCAAAGGGTTGTGGGTTCGAGTCACGGCACGGTACTGTGTTGTATCTTTGAGCAAGATACTTTACTCCGCTTGTTCCAGTCTACTCAGCTGTAAATGAGTACGTGGTTGGGCAGTGCTAGAATTGTAGAATGCTAGCTGTGAGCGCCGAAATGGCAGCACTGGCTGTATGCTCCCCTTGGATTTGAGAAAGATATTAGCTAGTTGCAAAGGCCCTATAACCACGGATAATAATTTGTGAACCTCTTTGAGACGACCTACGAACTAGGTTGTGATAAAGCGGTATATAAGAACCTCGAATTATTGTTAATTATTATTATTACTTTATGGCGAGCATCGATAAAACATTTCAAAGCACGGCATCGACATTTTTATGTCCGCCAGACTTTATCTCTGAAATATTGCATTTACAACTAGAACAATTTGGTTTGTCTGCATAAACATGGTCTCAAAATTACGTTATTATATATTTTTTCAAATGTTGCGAAAGTACAAAAAACCAGTGACAATGATGTTCGAAAATATGCTAAAATGAAATCTTTTTCAGAAAGCAACTTCACACAAGAAGGAGTTGCGTCATTCATATCCCAGAAGATTGGGCATTTTATAAATGAATGATGGGCAAACTGAGATATTTATTTAATGTGTTTTATGTTAATTTGTTGATGCTGATTTTAAACAAAGAGTAGCAACTCCAGTACAAAGTTTTGCAACAAAATACACACCTCGCATTACACGTCTCCAGTGTTCGGTTAAGGAGCACAATGCCACAAAGTTCAGACAAGTCACGTTATTGAGGGACAGGGATAGTACACACACCGAGAGGTGGGAAGTAGAGGAAGGTGTAAATTAACATGACGTAACACGCGCGTTCCTAGTACAGTGTAGGAACAGTGACAATCGGAATGACGGGACTGGAGCGCACGACATGGCCACCTTGTAAAACATCTGAAGCAATGAGCAAAGAGACATGGACCGCTTTCGTATATTGTGTTCATAACGGTTCGACAACAGCTAACGGTTGTTCGTTAACGAAATAAGAATGGAACTAGTGATTTCAGGTTGTTGTTTTTTCTGACGAAGCTTGGCAAAGATTTTCAAGGCCTGCATTAACATTTGCAGGTTCGTCAGATTTAGCCCTGACATATTACTTTTGAAAATAGACGTCAAGCATGTATTCCGTATACTAACACTTTGAATTCAAATCAAACTTCACGATGCAAACCTACCAGATTCAAGCGGAAACATGAAAGAAGAAACATGTTCTGCCAATGCATTAAGGATGAGACAACAAAAGAGCATGGTGCACTTGAATGGCATATGGCAAAGACAGCTTCAGCTTAGGTGACATTTGGAATGTTGAAACTTACAGGACAAGGCTATTACTGAAGGCAATACATAACATGCAGCTAATCCAATCAAACTGCACATTTAAAAGAAATGAACAACGTCGAAAAAGGATGTGCTGTGTGGAAGACTTGTCAGCCTTTAGCTAGAACCTGTGCTGTCATCATGTTGTCATCATGTTGTATGGCTAGTACACAGCTCGGGTGTCTACCATCCTCGATACACCAGGAGCTATGCTCACTTATCCCTGGAATATGTCATGACGAAAATGGAAGACACAAAGTAAGCTATTTGACTGGTTAAGATGGTAAGAATGACCAATGGGGGGGGGGGGCATAACAGTTATATTATATTGCAAAAAGCAAGCATTTATACACAAAAGATTCAAAAAGTCTGTATAATCAAAGATAAAAATTACAAAAATAGAAAGTAAGAAGAAACAGATTATCTTAATGTTACCAACATCTTAGTGGCAGATCTAGAGAATGATAGGAGGACTGAGGAGGTTTCCAAATGTCCTGGGGAGAGGAAGGGCAGGGTTTATCTCAAATGAGAAAAAAAATCATAGTTTTTAAAAACTGGCAGGTTGAGAGAGTTTAAGCTTTGAAAACACCTCTGAATCTGCCACTGAATATCATCATTTAAAATACTGGTTTATGTATGTATGTGGCTTTCATCAAGCCTGGATGCACCCAACATCAGTAGTTAGACTTCTCTCTCTGATGAAAGGAATGTCAAATATATAGGAAATTGCAAAGAGCTTTTCTTCAACATGTTATCTTATATTACTTTCATAGACAGATAGCTATATAGCTAGCTGTATATACCGTTCCAGCCGATGTATAATGTGACCGTCAGATTTAGATTTAACCAATCCTAGGGTCAGCTGGTACAGCAGGAATATTACAATGTAACAAACAACTAATGAACATGTGCTTTTGTTGCCGATCTATTTTTAATTAAGTTTGAATATATTTTAAATATGGAAATTAAATACTGCACTTAAATCAGTTTTTGTGTCCACTCATTATCATCATCCAACCAAATTCATGCTTTAGTACATGTATACGCTTGTTCTTATTGTCCAACCAAATTTATGCGTTAGTCTGTATCAAATCTCACAGACTACAAATGGAATTTGATAAAGCCAATTACAAGGCATATCTGTTAGAACTGTTGAGAATTTCATTTTGATCACAATACACAAACACATAAAGCCAATATAATTTAACATGGAGTTTCTTTATTTCAGCTGTACCTAACTTAGGTAAACAAAACAAAAACCTTTACAATATCTGTTCCAATAATGCGTCAATCAAAACTACATATTCCAGCTTGTCTGGAGTAATATGAAAATAAAACAGGAGCTGTTGGAGAACAGAAAAGCTTTTCGAAGAATATGAGAACTAGAAAAACTGTAATGAAAATAAGTTACTAAATTAATTTACTACAGTCATGATAATGAGTTTCAACAGGTCATGATGGGAAGGAACGGACATAGGTAACATTATGCGACAGCTCCTCTTCCCCCACCCCTCCAAATAAAATGGCGGGCCTTTAAAAAATAATTGTATACCAGCAATTAAACAAGAAAAGCAAAGGTCTGATTGAACACGGTACTCCAACTGACAAAATAAATTACCTACCCCAGTAACCATGGTTAGTATACTCTAACATAGCACACATACAGTTCAGGCACTCGGCTTAGTGAAGAAACTAATAAGCTTTTCAATTCAAAAATAAAAGACCTAAAACAGAAAATAAAAGTATGAGAGCTATATTTCCTCAGTGTAAACATGATAAATGCAAGAGTAGGCTTAGTACCATATGTATGGGGATTTACAATACGTTCATTCTTCATTCATCCAGTTCTATAAAGGTGAGGGTTTTCACATTTATCCGTTAACTTGCATATCCATATACATCTATGTAACCGTTAACATACACATTCGACTAATAAAACAAGCTTTTAGACCACAGACAATCCCTCTCAACTTCTTTCTGTCTCCCTCGTCAATTGCACCACAATTTTCCGTTGACGTAGCACTACAGTTTTAAGCACTTATTCCAAGAATCCATTGTTTTTTATGGTCATTGAACACTGTATCCTCTACATCCGCTGGTCACCTCACTTCTGCTGAATGTCCATCGGTCATTTCATATATAACTACTGTGCGTCCACCTTATAATTGCTGTAAGTTCTATGGTCATCTCACTTCAGCTGTACATCCAGAATTGTCAAACTTCTGCTCTACGTCCGTCGGTCATCTCACTTTTTTAACAACATATTTCTGAAGTCTGCATTGCTCATTTTCGTGGCACTCTGAGCACTGTCCCCATTACTGTCTGTTTCGTTAGCACTGTTTTGATTGGCAGAAGTCTTCACTGGTCCACCACTCACAGGAGCTTTCTTTATTGACCTTGGTAACAACATCAGCTGTGTCCTTGCCTTACCTCGTCTGTGAAATAACCAAAACGGGTTTATTTGTTAATTCTTTGCTTTTCATCAGAGGAATTATGGGAAACCTGTCTAACCCAAAAATCAACGTTTCCATTTGGAATAAACTAGTTTTCATATTACATGGGTTCAATTTACACAGAAATGTGAAAATATGGACATAATAAATGACATGTGATGTACTCACTTACAGTTATACAGATTCAATTATATATAATCAAATAGAAATGTTAAGAGTGGACCCAGGTTCAAGAGTGGGACATAATAAAAGACCTCATAAGGTCTCATTTTTAAAAAATACAAATTACACAGGTTCTTACAACCCTGACAAGCAAAGAGTTGGACCTATTTTAAGATTTTGTTTACAAAAGTTTCCACATTTTACAGAAGTAAGTTAAGACAATGAAGCATAGTTTATATGTCAGCAATTCTTCAATCATTTCACTGACTTCAAAGATATTTAATGAAATATATGTACAACGTACGTCTCCGTCTCCTTTTTGCCAGAGCCGAGGGTGGGAGTGTAGACGGGGTCCTCCCGCTCATTGAGTGGAGTTTTTCGGCCCGGAGGATTGCTGATGCTGACAGAGATGGTGTGATCCCCCATCAGCATTCCATCAGCCTTCAGCACAGCCTGTTTGGCATCTTGCTGTGAACAGATATAATTGTGACATCAGAACCAGTATCCAGTCATATCAAGCTCCTTTAATGTAATATGTTTAGTTTTAAAATTCAAACTTAAATCAAAACTGTTTTTAATTTGTGCATACATTTTTAATATTTTCCTGTACATTATGTGAGGGTGACTAATAAATTGATTAATATGTATTGATAAGTATTTTGTTTTCAGTTTAAAAAAATTTTGCAAAAACATTCTAATTCAAATCTAATTTACTTGTCTCATAACCCACATAAAGCTTGATACAACTGAGTCCTGGTATTTAGAAGTCTTTTTTTTAACAAATTTGACCCCTATGACCTTAAAAAAAGAGGACATATGATAACACTTTATCTTGGGTACCTTCATGTCAAATAGGACCCTATAGGGCCTTCTGGAACTTTTGAAGAAGATTTTAAACCTTTTTACTCGTATTAGCTTATGTTGACATTGGACCCCAACAGATGCTGAAAGCTGGCCTCTGACCTTAAGGTTGCTTCAAATTTTTAACGCATTTTACATGTGACCTTGAAATTAGTTCGGGGTCATTTATATGATAAACTTTTATAGCAATTCATCCAAGGTACCTACTTGCCGAATATCATTGTTCTAGGGCTTACCATAAACTCACACGCACTTTGTGCCAGGTGAGCTTAAAATACACATTACATGCAAAGTTTCATAATTAATTTCTTAGCAACATTTCAAATTTAAAAATCATAAATGAAACTGTTTTCATGCTCAAGCCTGGATATTGTGCTCAAGACTAATTTCTTCTTTCAGTTATGAATCAATCTTAAAAATTCATAATTTTTTAAATTATTAACTGTATACTGTTTTCAATGTTTACATTTCTACTTTTGCATTGTTTTACATAATTTAAGTGAGTTACAAGAAAGCTGGTTTAAGGTGGCTCCACACTTTCCTAATTAACCAGCGAAATTCGTTGAAACTTTCATATAATGGTTATGCAACTATGTAGAGTTGATTTTATGAAAATCTAAACACTCCGATAGTTAGGGGACTTTTTTGGAAAAAATACCAAAAAATTGAATTTTCATCAATTTTAATATTTTCCGGGTTTTTTTTGGGTGTGACATTGTTCGGAACAATAACAACAATAATAAAATGAAAAGAAGCATTTCTAATTAACCCTACAAATATTTTATTTATCGCAAAATATGTAACACATGTTACACAAAGTGTTTTTTATTGAATTTGAACGGATAAAAGTGATTATCTACAAGCTAAAAGCCAACAGGACACAAAGATCTATACATATAGAATGGGAAATTGAACAAAATATACACAATGGCTTTATAATTAATTTATTTTACATTTTACAATCACTTCGATCCGGGTAAGAGTTATCTTCCTTGAAAAAAATCGGAACTTTTTGCAGAGGGGTGACATTTACACAATGACAGTTGTCCCTGTTTACATATAACAAAAATGATGGAAATAAATCAAAAATATGATATCAAAATTATCAATTTATTGTTCTTTAATGGAACCAAATTACCCTCAGTCATGTACACTTTGGACATCATTCCACAGTCCGCTAACTCACGGTATGTTTATAATTACATGTCAGGTACATATGTGACCAGAGGCTATCGCATGGTATGCCGTTCTCACGTGCACTCACACATGCATTTTATAGGTATCTTGATATTTTACAAAACATTATTTTCACAGAGTAAGTAGACTACATTTGTAAACACGATTTAATCGACAGAGCGAAACTTCCTCAACAGCGAAAATCGTAACGACCTCGAGCTTATGAACTCGTGTTGCACATGTGAGGTCGGTACGTCCGCATTCCATGCGTTTCCTATATGACCTTCTTGAGGTCGTTTGGTCTCATGTCACTATCTTCCCGTGAGTCTGTTTATGTCTATGAATTTGAAAGCTTTATTCCTGAAATACGTGTGATTATACATTTCCCGGTAAAATCTCGATATCGGGTGTTGACATATCATCGGCACGCACGTGTACTATTGTTTACCAGGGGCCTGTTCGTGTATGCGGAGCAACCGGTTTGACCGTTTATAAATGTAACAATTTCGGGTATAAATCCTGGCGGACCTGCAAATGTATATGCAGGCCTTGCAAGGCTTTCTCACGGCTCGCCTGAAAGCAGCATCAGATTACTAGGTCCGACCTTATTTAATAAACGAACAACAGTGGTCCGATCAGTTTGACCGTTTAAACGAAAACGGCCAAGGTGTAACTATAATTTGCACGACGACATTGAATGCCCGATACGCAATACGGAAATGACGACACGGTGTACATGCACATTTTGATCAAGATAATTGAGTCCGAGCTGTACTTTTTCCGGAAGTACGTCACGAAAATGGACGCTGATGACGATGTGTGGAGCCACCTTAAGCACAGATTCAATGATTGAGCATGAAAATGACTTCATAAATATGGGGCACAGGTTTAGTTGACCCATACCGCATCCACATATTCCACATATGCCAGTCCCTTCGGTGCCCCACTCTTGTAGGTGACGAGTCTCACATCTTTTATCTGGCCATGCTGCAACAAAAAGATCACAACTACAGTTGGACTACAGATAATTAACTTCATTTGAAATGAGATTCATTAATTTGGTATGAATACTATAATGCTAAGTTCGTTTTCAATTCAAACAGAAACAGTAAACTTCTTTTTGCGAGCTTTCGAAAATATCTGTTTCCTTTTTCAAGCAAAGGGTGCAAAAGTCCATTCCTTACACATGGTTCTCTACACCTAGACAAGCAGATAGACAGATGAACAGACAGACAGACAGACGGACAGATGAACGGATGGACAGACAGACAGACAGACAGATGGATAGACAGACAGGTGGACAGACAGACAGACAGATAGACAGACAGACGGACAAACAGGTGGACAGACAGACGGACAGATAGACAGACAGACAGATGGACAGACAGACAGATGGACAGATGACCTGGATGGCGTACCCCTTCCCCCTTCACTTTGTTACAGTGCAGGGGAGGGAATGGAGGGATAAACTGTTATTGTAATTAATAAGATTTATGCAAAGTTAATATTAAAGTTAAATATGAAGGTAAATATAAGGTTTAAAATAAGTTTCATTTCATTATGACTAATCTCTTAACCCTTTCACCCCTATGTAACTTTAGTAGACTCTACCATGCATTGATATGGATGAGTCCATTATGGTCTACAGTGTTGAAAGGGTTAAATGTAAACAAATTAAAGATCACATTTATCACATCACCGAGAATGTCTTCAATGAGATGTCACAGAGTTGTAATATCATGTCCATTGTAGTATGCTATCAAACTGAGGTGAACATTGTTTTACAGTGTCTACACATGTGTATTTGTTTTGTAATTCATTTCTGTAAGATTTATTTTTATTTACTACATGTAAATGGTATTATATCAAGAAGTTAGTGACAATGATCAATGATAACATTTTATATAACTTTAAATCTGTCTTCCTCTAAATTCTGAAGAGACATACTAGGCAAGTATTGGTACTGGTCTGTACAAAGTTAAAACACTTTTATAATTGTTATCAATTAAAATGAAGATGAAAAAGAAATATTTCTTCAGACTGAAGTACTCAATTCAAAGCTAAAAGCAAAGTAATGATATCTTACATCGAAGTTCAAGTCATCATAAGTGCTTAAATCGTGTTACAAGAGTGCAGTGACGTTACAAGTGTTGTGTACACTACGCTAACAGGACACAATTACGGACTCTCTACCATATCATTACTCTGATGAAGGAACAATACCCGGTATTACAAGTTTACTCATTCCAATGATGTCACACTTTCTGTGGAATACGTGACAACAATGTTTTAAAACCTGGTTTATAAATAGACAGAAAGTTTCCAGAACAAAGATGGCATTGTAGGATGTCACGTACACAGGGTGTGTTACTACTTTAGGGAGGTCATGTGGTGTGAACTTAGCCTGCGGATGCCAACATGTACAGCTATGCTGCTACTTGTTGGTTTTGTGGTGATAATAACTCAAGGCAATCATTAAGAATAAATAGCAGTGGTAATCAAGTTTTTATTCCTAGCTTCTACTGAAAAACCACATTCAAAACATATTTCTTTATTTTTTTAAAACACAACTAGAACACTGACAGGTCAGTAAGGGCCCCGTCTTGTGACAATATATCCCCCAAAATCATCAAGAAGCAATCTGCCCATATAGCTGAGCTTGACGTTTGACATTTGGACTTCAAAAAGAATCGCAAGGAAGCAAAATATACATTTTACATGTACTATGATCATGATGTGAGTCTTGTTTCCTTCCACCTCCATATTTGCTGGGCTAACAGAAATGTAAATACCAGTGCAGTACTCATTTGTTAGCTTTGATTTGTTTTATTTCACCTTATATACCTCCTCCATCAAGAGCCAGGGTCAAAGTCAGAGATCCACTTTGTCTCTGACCTTTGGACCCAAATGACCTTGACCATTAACCCAGTGACCCTGATATTTGGTCAGTTGACTTATTCTTTAAAGGGGCATCACGCTGAAGTAACTAATTTTTGTGTCTTTTTTTCAAATACTACATAAACATATCAAGTGAGACTCCTTATGGAAAATAACAATCGGATTTGGCTGAAATAGATCGATTCATAAAAATGATTAAATCTAAGATAATCATCGGTATTTCTACCTGTCTGACCAACGTTTTGTTCAGGGATTTCCCTCTACCAGCACATGCGCATTGCACACCATTTCTTTGTAAACAAAATGACTGGCCGTGTGAAGTAAGCCAAAGAAAAGTGTTGTACCGTGTCATCTACGAAGCGAAAAGTTGCCAAATGGTGAAAAGATAGCGCAAGGAGTACGTTACGGAATCATTATTACAGGTGGGAAGTTTTCAAAGGAGAAAATAACTGCCCTAGCAGTTAGTATGGTGCATGTATTCTTCCGGATAGCCGGTTAAGCTGAAATGGAATCGACAGAAATGCTAGCGCTGTTTATGTTATGAATAAATATCTAAAACTATTAACCTCGCTAGTATCTTTGTCTGAGTTTGAACACAGATGAGCTTAGTTTAATATGTCAATGGGCATGTATCGGAGAGAGTTTACTTTGTGTTTCTATAATTTTACAGTGGTTTATGCGAAAGGAAGGGATAAGTGACTGGTTAGTTTGATTTTGTCATGAGGCCCTCCAAGGGTTAACTGTTGTGATAGCC